TGGTAATTATGATATTATAGTTTTAGTTAATAGTCATCTTAGTAAACTAGTAATTATGATATTATAGTTTTAGTTAATAGTCATCTTAGTAAACTAGTAATTATGATATTATAGTTTTAGTTAATAACCATCTTAGTAAACTGGTAATTATGATATTATAGTTTTAGTTAATAACCATCTTAGTAAACTGGTAATTATGATATTATAGTTGTAGTTAATAATCATCTTTGTAACAATATTATGATATTATAGTTTTAGTTAATAACCATCTTAGTAAGCTGGTAATTATGATATTATAATTTTATTTAATAATCATCTTAGTAAACTGGTAATTATGATATTATAGTTTTAGTTAATAATCATCTTTGTAACAATATTATGATATTATAGTTTTAGTTAACTTCAACAATACTTTCTGACGGCAGTTCAATTACTCATTACCTACACACAATCCCATCACGTTGTGACCGCCTTATATACATACAAGCCTAACACTATATCTAGTAATCTCCCGACAATTCACGAAGGCTCGAGAGAACGAGTGGCGTGACACTAGTCACGTGACCTCGCTGACGCAACAAAATGTTTTAACTGATTTTACTAATGTGTGATTAACTCTAATCGTGAGTTACAACTTTTATAGAAGCTGTAATACTATTATCAATATGTTTTAACTGATTTTACTAATGTGTGATTAACTCTAATTATGAGTTACAACTTTTATAGAAGCAGTAATACTATTATCAATATGTTTTAACTGATTCTACTAGTGTGTGATTAACTCTAATAATGAGTTACAACTTTTATAGAAGCTGTAATACTATTATCAATATATTTTAACTGATTCTACTAATGTGTGATTAACTCTAATGATGAGTTACAACTTTTATAGAAGCTGTAATACTATTATCAATATGTTTTAACTGATTTTACTAATGTGTGATTAACTCTAATGATGAGTTACAACTTTTATAGAAGCTGTAATACTATTATCAATATGTTTTAACCGGTTTTACTAGTGTGTGATTAACTCTAATGATGAGTTACAACTTTTATAGAAGCTGTAATACTATCATCAATATGTTTTAACTGATTTTACTAGTGTGTAATTTACGTTCATATTGATATTTTGAAAAGCAGCAAGTACTAAGTGTTCTTTTTATTTTCAAGTTGTAGCACTAGGTGGAAGTTGTGTCTTCAATAGCCAATGCCAAATTTTACCACCGAAGGGTGTTTGTTTGAATAATGTCTGCAGTTGTAGTTCTAGTTACCCTGTCCAGGTGTCAGGACGTATGCTCTTTTGCTCGGAAGGTAACTACTATTTATTGGATATTTTATGTGTATTAGGTTTCTATGCAAGCATATTATTATTTTCTTATTACTTGGTAAACTGAAAAAACTATTCTGGAAGAAATAAGAATGATTAAATATGAAAAGTGGGTTTAACCAAACAAAGAATTTTGTCAACGTTTTTGTTGCTATCTCTCCTGGAAATTCTAACATTTTACGTCTACTCTTTTGCAAGCACGACACCTTGATGAGCCTTGTGTGTACCATGAGCAATGTCAACACACCATGGAGTTTGCAGAGTGTGCAAGAGGTTCTTGTAAGTGTCAAAGAGGGTTTGTCAAAGTTGTCTTCGGGTTCCGAGAAGCTTGCAAGAGAAAAGGTAACTACAGAAAATAATCCAAACTGATACTTCTTACATCATTTTCCTCGGGAAATAATTTTTACATTTCTTTCATTTTTGATACTTTTTACAACAATTTCCGCTACTTGAGTAGCTTTAGTTTTTAGTTTTCTCTAAAGTAAAACAAAAATTGCTAAACTTTTAAAAATGGAAGCTTAAGAAAATACTTTTAGTGGTACACAACTTAATTTCATCAACATTTTCATCAAATCAACAATCTTTAAAAAAACTATTACAGTTTTATGTAAGTAGTGTTAATGATTCTGTTAATAGACCTCAGTATATTGTCAACAATGTGTAAAAAACATAAATGAGGGAACTTTTACAGTCTTTATGTAACTATTGTTAATATTTTTATTAATAGTCCTCAGTATATTGTTGCGTCAGCGTGATCACGTGACTAGTATCATGCCACCCGGTTTCTAGAACAATCCTGTTCCTTCAGGAGTGCTCTAGCATTTGCTATATTGGGGGTGGGCTGGTATATATAAGATGGTCACGGCGTGACGTGACAATAATGTGTGTGTGTAGGTAATGAGTAACTGAACTGCAGTCAGAGAGAGACGTATTGTTGAAGTCGAGCTCCTGAGACGTGAATTATAGTTTGTTATAGCGCGACCGTTGAAGTTGAGTGTATCGTAAAGTTGTATTCGGAAAGAATAAACCAGTTTTATTTAAGAGAGGACTTGTGTCGCTAAAGTTTCGTCGGAACAAATTTACGGAAAATCAATTAACAAACGGAGACGTAACAATATTTTCAACAATGGATTAATAACATAAAAGAGGGAACTTTAAAGTCTTTATATAAGTATTGTTAATAACTCTGTTCAGTGAGGTATATATTTGAACAATCTTTCTTTGCTACTTCTTCCTGACATTTCACCTCGTATAACATGTTATTTCCTGGCAGTTCACTGGAAAGACAATTGCATAGTGAATGCACAGTGCACCTCGAGGGGGAAAGGGGAGGTTCCTTTACAGTGTCTTCGTGGAGTGTGTGACTGTCCTCTTGGATATGTCTTCCTAGAGACGTGGTCAAATTCAGGATGTTTCAAAGAAGGTAGCACCAGTTGATATTTTTATGTACTACAATACTGTGTTTTGTATGAGTGTTTAGTGTCAGTATTTCTATGTAATACTGTTTTGTACCAGCAGTTAGTGTCAGTATTTTTATGTACTACAATACTATGTTTAGTACCAGCATTTAGTGTCAGTATTTTCATGTACTACAGTACTGTGTTTAGTACCAGTGTTTGTTCTCAGTATTTTTATGTACTACAATACTATGTTTAGTACCAACATTTAGTGTGACAATAATGCTGAAATACAGGATCATATTTTGTAATAACAGTTATTGTCCAGCATTATTGTC